TTCTTGTTTTTTGTGGCGATTAAGGAGAGGCTGCTGTCCGAACCTCTTTGTGTAAGGAAGAGGTGTTTTAATGCAAATGATGCGTTCAGGGCCAGTTTCTCCGCCTGGCACCGGGACCAGAGGTCCAGTTTTAGCCCAGCAGAGGAAAGTATGTGAACTCTTTCTGGGACCCGCTGCAGGAAATCCTCCACATGTGGAAGTGGATCTCAGTCGGGACTCCTCCCCGAACTGGTTTTCTGTCGAAAGCCACATGATGTCATGTGCTTATTTGGATGTTTGTGGTGTCAGTTGCTGCGTTTTAAAGATATCTGAGGCTTCTGTTAAGCAGTGTGATGAGTTTTGCTTTTGCAAAATGCACGCTTGCCCTGTGTATCTTCAGTTAAGGTAAAACATTTGTGTCCTCTGAGGGGAAATGCTGCAAATAGTGAAAAACCTCACACTTTTTGGACGTCAGACCCTTCAGTGCACACTGGGCTTGTCCTGATCCGATATTTGGATATTTGCAAAAAGATGCCGGCAAGAGAAAATGCAGATCCAGACTCCAGATCCAGTTTAAAAAAAAAAAGTATTTTTAAAAAGTCTGATCCGTTTTCCAGCACACCGATTCAAATAATCCATTCCACTTTGCTGTGTTGTTCCCTAATATCCGGTGCGGTCATTTTCCAGCACAGCCTTAAGCATTAGCATTAGCATTAGCATCTCCTGACCCACAGGTCTGTGTCCTAACCATTAAGACGGCCATGTAAAAATGTCAGTTGTGTGGGATTATTTTATCCTGTTTTGTGTTTATCCCTGAATAAACAGGTCAGTGTCTCTTTACCAACCAGTGTGTGTTATTCACACTCACCTAATTCAGCTGGCTAGTTGTTATCAGAGTAAATCCCTTTTCAACATGAGTCTGACAACTGAGTAAGTAGGCTAAATAACTTTAAACTTTGATATATGCTCTGATAGGCTGGGATCGGTGTTGGATCAGTGCAAAAAGCTGGATCAAAAGCAAAAAGCACACGGGTGTAAAATCTTGGATGCTTTGGTGCTCTGAAAGCTCAGTTTCTAACGATATTGGCTCATGAAGATGAAGTTGGAGTCTCATAAGATCCTGGTCAGCCAGAAGCAGGACGGGGGGAGAGGATAAACTCTCACAGCCACCTGTAAAGTTTGCGAACGGCGTGTAGCTCTTTTTTTTGTTGTTGTTTTTTGGCCACCCTCTTTTGTTTGTCCGCCTGACACCTGAGAAGTGGGCATGGCCTGCCTCACGGCGCCATGGCAACATGACACCAACCTGTGCAGGTTGCCATAGCGGCGTGCAGCAGCTCGCCGGTGTCGTGTTCGGCCTCCGACCAGCTACCGTCCAGAGTTTGTCTTTTATGGGAAGAGCAGCGTGAGCTGGTTTCTTTGTGTTTTACAGATTTCTAACACGAATCACCACAAAACTCTGCAACCACCTTAGATTCTTGTTTCTTAATTTCCGAACAAACGGCAAACGCATGCAGAGGTTTATTGATAAATGATGGTCCAGTATCATCCTCCTCTATTCTCCAGGCCTCTTACAATCTGGGGAAGATTCATCCCTGATTTTCAGTCCACTAAAATAGCTGTTTTCCTTCCAAACTCTGTTACATTTGGCATTTTTCTCACATCAACTAAAGAAAAAGAAACACGTCATGTTTTTTTTTATGACGTAGTGCTCAGAAAATGAGTGAAAAAACATCCAATGCGCAAAGAAAAACTTTGGAATTCTTTAATAAATTCTGGGGAACGAATGCTTAAGACCGCTTTAGAACAATTAAAAGAAAAAAGATAATTGGAAGGAAATTATAAAGGAGTTATGGGACGATTAAACCTCTGTAAAAAATCCTTCCTCAGAGCCCGACTGGCTTAAACTCACCTCCACGCCGAGCGGCTTTTCGAATCTCAGGAATTTGCACCCGGTGTGTCGTCAGAGTTTCCCCGAAGCTTTGATAAACCCGAATCCCACAGAGGAGGGAAAAAACGGAAAGCCCCCGTGGAGCAAAGGCATGTCCCACTTTTCCTGAGACGCTCGTATGAGCCTGATGCGATCGGATGACCTCCGAGTTCGAGCTCATTTAGGGGGAATTTTTTTACAGTGCAGGTTTTTTTTTGGCAGTGCTGATTCGCACAGGATTAAGCCCTCTAATGACCTATTTGGTCATTAAAAATTGTAAGAGGACCCGGGATGATACGGCTTTAAAGGCTAAACGACACGGTTTGTTTCCTGTGGAGGATTTGTGCCCGGACTCTGTTCCCATTCAGGTCTTCACTGTGTGAGTCTGCTCCTCTTCCAGCTTCATACCAGAGTCACTCCAAGGCTGATGGGGGTTGGGGGGGTGTTGTGCATAATTCAGCACCTCGTCTCGAGCCTTTTTGTGCGTCACGTGCACGCCGCATAATCAGGAGCGCGGCTCTATTCCCCGCACGTTCAGAAAACCTTCAGAAAAACGCCCGCTAAGGTCACATTCCCGCCTTCCCTGCCGGCGTGTGACGCCACGGCAACTACGTCTGCAACTAGACTGCAGGAACAAGGATGGATATCCAACTCCGCCCACATCCAAGTCGGACATTTTGATTAGGTCACCAATAGGAAGATCCCAGGCAAGAAATTCCTAATTGCTTCATGGCAATATAGACATTCATTTAAAGATAGTGAAATGAATCTTGCAAACACTGAATTAAACTCGATACATAATATTGTGTTAAAATAGTGGATGTTAAATAGGTTTGTACAATAAGTCCAAACAAATTTAACCAAATAATCTTTGTCACAATTATGAAGGGTGGAGGGTTAGGGTTAGGGTTCTGTTCAGGGTTAGGGTTAGGGTTCTGGTTAGGGTCAGGGTTAGGGTTCTGGTTAGAGTCAGGGTTAGGGTTCTGGTAAGGGTTAGGGTTAGGATAATGTTTAGGGTTATGGTTTTGGTCAGGGT